CCATGCATGGTTTATGCAGCATCCTACAGGTAAATGAGTTATAGTTTGAAAAAGTGAGACAGTGAAATGGATTTTTTTAGTTTTAAAATATCACCAAGCGCGATTGAGTCTTTTTCGTCGAAACAATAATTTACGAATGCGTTTGAGTATTTGTATGTAGTGTGGTCCAATGAAATCATTGCACACTACAAGTGGGAAGAAATTTCAATATCCTTTATAGTTTTTTTACAGTAGGAATAGTGTTTAAAAATCAATAAAACCAGAGTGGAGGATCTTTAACTTACTGTGCGGTTGAATGGAACTCTGAAATGTACAAATATGCGATCAGAGTGTAGTGGCAAAAAGTATTGTTGTCGATTGAAACGGTTATCGAATATGCGAACGGGTTAGTCATCCGTATCGAATTTCATTGAGGTTTAATCCTAAAGGTGCATCCAATGAATTTGAGGTGAGTCACAGGACATTTGTGATTAGGGAATTGTTTCAATCCTGTTTAGGTAAGCTCCGTCTCGCACTCTTATCTCCCACACATGGATATCCTATGCGAAGATCAGAGAAGCTATCGTTTCATCCTAGACCAGATATAGCAAGCGAGGATACCGTGAAAAAACGGTGGCGAGCAGAAAAGTGATCTCGATTAGGCACGAATCTCCACGCATGTAGTTTTGTCAAGGTTTTATTGCAGTCCGCATTTCGTTTGAACGTAGAAGCATCCTTTTGCGAGGAAAGACTGTTCATGCTGTTTTTGATGAGCAGTTTACTGAATGCCCAATATGATAATCAATTGCAACAGGTCTATTGAGTCAAAAACAATCTGTGTACAGACATTTTGAAAACACGATGAACTGAGAAATTTAGCGACTGCTGTCAATTTTTCACCCACCCCTTGAATGTTTTAACTCCGTACTTGGGGTCTCGATTGATTGGCCGATCCGAAAGCCACATCTCTTTTGGATCTGACATAGCACAATCCAGTTTTACTAACCTATTCAAAATGCGATTGGCATTTTGGTTTTCATGCGTTGCAAAGAGGCAGCTTAAATTGTACAAGGGATTACATACTATTGAATTTTCCGTAAATAATCATTCATTATCGCGAACAGTAAAATGAGACTGTAAAATCCTCATTGTTGATGTCTGAAGTGTAGTTCAAAAGGTCAGAAATATGCAGTCACTGTACACTTCGAATTTTGAGCTCGAATTGGGCTAAACGAACAAGAGAAATGTTTGGTTGATGGAATCAAAGATTAAAAGACCATTAGCTTTCCTTTCGAGTATCAGTATGGTCGAGGCGAGGTTTCTAGGGTTGTGGCTGGTCACCCTACCCTTGCACCTAGTGCTCCCATGTGACCAAGCGTCTCAAATAGCCTCTGCGGAGGAAGCCCTACTCACTGCCTTCTGGTGGCAGAGGTATTTTCCCATCAAAGTGATAGGACGAAAAGCAAATACCCGGGGCTATAACCGGGTTGGTGGACCACTGGTAGTTCATCTAGGGGAGTTGGCCAAAATCCCTGATTCCAAACCAACCAAGAGGAGGCGTATGAACCACACGCACACCTTCCTAGTCGCGGCAGTGGTCACCGGCTCAATTGGGCATCTAGGTGTATTAGGACGTTTGATCCCGTCTAAAGGGCGTATGATCCGATGAACTGGGCACCGGCTCCCAATGGATTGCGATTTTCACACACCGCCCACTCTGCTTTGCGGGGCAGGCTTTGGCTAGCCGAAGGCCTCGGTTGGGGATTCCTCAAGAACAATCACCAGCCTTGGCATAGGCAACCTGACAGTATTCCGCCCACAAGCCAATCATGGAACGTTTTTCATTTTTTATAAAGATTATTGTACCATTATTAGTTTGGCACACAGTCTGTCTTTAGACGAGTGTGAAATATAATAAAATAATAACATGAGAAAAAATATTGCACAGTAAACTTCGGGAAGGTGGGTTACCAGTGGAATAAACCATACGGTCCATGTTAAATTTGAATATTCGAATTTGAGATCCACAGCTTGATGCTGACCCAAGCCTTTTTCACTAGCAGGTCATAATTGACCACAGTCCTCAACCTTACGTGAGCACACTCTCCCGTGCTCTCTCTCTATGCACCGCTTAGCATCGTCCGCGGTACGGACTTTCTCTCGAGGAATGCGATTTCTTAGTCGGAGCATACCGACGACAGCGTGGAGGAGTGGCAAAGTTAGATCAGCAGAGCTATCTAGTACATAATGTCCAAAACACTTGGGTACGATGTTTGCTTAGCTTGAATAAAGTTTATTAATTTAATCTATTTATTGGAATTTAACCATCCCATTTGCAATATCTGTCCTATTTCTGTTTACACACTGACGACTTGTTGCCGCAGATAAGAAACGTTGTAATGCAAAACGGTGTTGCCTTGGTTGCGGTGCCGATCAGTGCTATAAACCGGGAAAATTCCATACGTCATACACGTGCCGGTTGGCAAAACACACTCGGATGTACCGTTCCCAGTCAAAATGAACGTTTCCACAGTTGTGAATTAGACTGTACAATCTCGATTTCGAAAAATCTACACCTTTTCCCTTAAAACTTTAGCCAAAACCTGCAATGCTTTAGCCAAGACCAGTAGTCCTTTAGGCTCTACGCATAAACTTGAGTCACGTCGCCTTAAGCGAGTCAGATCATAAAGTATCGGAATTTTCTGGAGTCAACCGATTTTGAGAAAAGTATGTTCTACAAATGTTGACGTAGCAAAGCTTGGTTAACAAATAAGGTGTGGGTGTTGCATGCTGCAACACATGTTGATTGGAAAAGATTTAACCGACATTCTCATATCGTCAAACCACTTGACACATCTCGTACCGCTTCAATGTTTATGTATAACATACGATACTTCTAGGAGTAAAAATCTCAAGTGTTACTCAACCGACACATTGCTTTTGCATTCACAAGCCCTGAAATAAATCAATAGGTATATGGTTAGCGTTTTATATATCCACTTAAATTGGACTCTGTTATTGAGATATGGATACATTACCAGGTCGAAGTTGATAAGCATTGTTCACAAAAGACCCCCTTTAGAACACTATTTCCTAAGAAATTATAGACAAACCCGTAATAATTAAGCCTCGACCGTGGTAAGTGTGTTATATGTTGCAGCGTTAATAAACTGATAATATTTGTGAGGGTGTACTGTTACGAGCGGTGTACTCTCCCAAGCACGTTTACCTATCCCTTTCTGATGATCACAGTCCATTTGTGAATGCAAAACAGTGTACCGTTTGGGTTACACTTGAGACTTTTACTCCTATGAGTATCGCATGTTATACAGAAACATTAAAGCTGTGTACGAGATGTGCCAAATAGTTTGACGATACCGGCACACCGGTCGAACGTTCTCCAACTAACATGTATTGCATCATGCAACCCGCGAAACTTCTTATTTCTTAACCAAGCTTTGCAACATCAGCGTTTGTAGAACATAATTTTTTTAGACATCGGTTAACTCCAGATAAATCCAATACTTTATGGTTTGACTCGCCTACTGCGACGTGACTCAAGTTTGTGCGTCGAGGCTAAAGGACTACGGGCCGAGGCTAAAGCATTGCGGATTTTGGCTAAAGGAAGGTAGGTCAAGGCTAAAAAATTGTGGGTTTTGGTTAAAGCTTGATGGGAAAAGGTGTAGTGCTTGTGCTATTGCGTGCTTTTATAACGCTTGTGGTTCCGATTCTTGAACCGTTTATACTCCGAGCACTACATATCCAATCAAGTCGGAGACCACTATAACAAAACAAGAAGGTGTGGGTGTGCTTCGTATGCCTCTTCATGGTCGGTTTGTAATCAGGGAC